ACCTGCCACGCCATATTTAATTTGTGAAGATTGTTGATCTTAGGTTTATAAGCTAGATACCTATTACCTACCTTTAAAGAAAACAATGCCAAATAAAATTGCTGTCTATTATTTTCTATATGGATTTGAGTCATTTGACAATAATTCTATCCACTTTTTAGCTACCCCTGGAAGAATTAACAGGTGCCAAACTTGGTGATGTAAGATTGGCTGCCATCAAATCATTGCAAACATTGGCTGATATTATGGAAGTAATAGATCTGGAGAACTATTTTATACCTTTAATTGCTAGTTTGACAATGAATGATAGATGTGCTAAACGTTGKTCTGTTAGTCATCTTTTCACTACTGTTTATATGCGTGTCAGTCCAAAACATCAAAGTAAATTTACTGTATTTAATATTAAGTTGATGTGATTTTTTTTTATATTACAATTGTTTTACAATAGGTGACTTAATTGACTATCATTGTTTTTTAAGTTTGGACTCATTACCTTCTGTTCGTCAAAATGCAGCTAATAACTTAGTTRATTTCACCGAAGTTGTTCATATGTCTATTTTTGACAGTAAATTAACTCCACGTTTAGAACAATTTAGCGTTGATCAAAATGTAATTTTATCAAAATTCTATAAATTTRAATTAATATATTTTTATTATTAGGAGAACATTAGAATCTCGGCTTTATCAATAGCAATAACAATTTCAAAAAAAATTGATGTATCTTACACTAAACAGACAATTCTTCCTATTGTTTTGAATACAATWAATGACCCTTCAATTGGAGTACGTTCAATACTCATCAAGAACATTGCAAAGGTATAATTTTAGTACTTAACATTAAAATTTATTTTTGCATCAAGTATTTAATCATTACCTACTTTTTAAATAGTTGCTTGTAATTGGCGTAAGTTGCTTAAAGCTTACTGAAAATATAATGAAAGTACTTATTTCATTAACTAAAGACCAACAAACAGAGGTTCGATTACAGTCTGTCCATGTTCTTTATGATTGTACTGTAGTCCTTTATGAAAACTTGACTTACTTAGAAGCTACTAAATTGGTTACCAAATTTTTAATTCCTACTTTATGCAATTTAAGTCAGGATTCTGCTGTGAAATGCAAACTGGAGATACCAG